ATATCCATCCAAGACTTGTTGAAAAAAAAAGTTTATTCAGTGCAGCAAAATAGATTAAAGTCCTTCGAGGACCAGAATTATTTAAGTAACAAATCAGAGAGCAAGTGTTTTTGGATCAAGAGGTTCCTCGAGGATCAGTTCTATATATATATATATATATAAATATTAGTTTTAAACCTTCCCACACTGTTGCAACATTCTAAACAATGTTTCTAAACGCTCTGAAAGAACAGAACGTCATGATATCCCTCTCTCTGCCTGTGCTGCTCTCAGCCACCTGCAAGTGCTCTCGGCCACGCCCACTGCTCTGCACGCAGATCAGCTGTTCAGCTGCAAGAGAAAGTTGATCCTGCAGTAAGGACTGCACAGAGGTGCTAAATAATTAAAAATTATTTTAAATAAAAATTCCATGCAGATTGTGCAGCTCATCCATCAGCCAATTGTGTGTCATGTCCAATCTCATTAAAAAAAAAAACGCGATAGAGTGAATCCATGATAAACGAACTGCAAAGTAGCGAGGGACTACTGTACTTAGTTGACAAATACAGAAGCAGCCAACTTTTTCTTATCAAAAAGAGTTTAATAACTGAAGAATTTAGGAAATATGCCTGATTTGAGGCAGCACAGTGGTGCAGTTAAAGTTGCCACCTATCAGCGAGAAAGTCACCCCGGTTCAAATCCCGGCTGGGGGCCTTTCTGGGTGGAGTTTGCATGTTCTCTCTGTGCTGCATGGGTTTCCTCCGGGTACTCCAGTTTCCTCCCACAGACCAAAAACATGCATGTTAGACTGATTGGTAACTCTAAATTGTTTCTAGGTGTGAGTGAGAGAGTGAATGGTTGTTTGTCTCCATGTGTCTCTGTGATGGACTGGAGACCTGTCCAGGGTGTACTCCGCCTCTCGCACAGTGACAGCTGGACATGGGCACCCATGACCCGAAAAGGAAGAAGCGGGTAAAGTTTCTGAGCTCTTTTTAAACCTCCATGTTTTGGTGCTGCTCCTCAATGGGACGCCTCCTGAAAACAGATGCTTTCAGAGCTACATGTGATTGGATCAATGGTGAGGTTGTAAAATATCAGAATCACTCCAACACATTGTTTTCAAGAGCTTCATGAACCTTGTAACTACTATCAGGAGAATATTGTGTGTTTTCTTGTAAAACCTCTGGAATCATTTTCAAAAGGCAAATAATTGTTTGTAATCTGTAATATCTGAATATTTGAATAAGCAACAAAACTGAAAAAATCTCACAGAGAGTTTCTTAACAAGAAGACAAAAAGAGGACGTTTAATGCTTTAGGATTAACTCGTTTGACAAAAATGGACTCATCTCACTCTCAGAAGGCAAACAAAAACAATAGTTATTTAAAATTATTTGTTTAAAAAGAAAAGAACCATCAAACATCCAGAGTATTTCCTGAGTTTTCATTTTATTTTATCAGATCAGAATTTTTCAGGATGACTGAAATAGAAAACAGTAACACGCTGAAAAAATGAAAAACTGTCATCAACTCTGAAATGTATGGATTCATAACCTGAAATATTCTGACGTCCTCCTCTCAACCCAGCCGAGTTGTTTCTTTATTCTCAGAGGAGTAGTGAAGTTTCAGCAGTCTGCAGGTTTTCCTCTGCACAAGGTTTCTGCATAATGACTGAATAATTGCTCATGCTAATTATTAGTGGGTGGCTCGCTGCATTAATGAGGGAGTTCACCCCCATACATTTGTGCTCCTGATGGTTTTCCTCTCCGAGGACAGAAAAACAGCCGCAGTGTGAAGAAGTTTCTGTCTGCAGGGTTGAAATGAACCGATTTAATCACCAGCAGACTGAAGCTTTCTGAACACAAACAGATCTCAGAGCTGCTACATGATGAACATCCTGCAGGTGGTCTCTGCTGATGAGCGCTGATCTGAGACCTGTTTTATTTGACTGAACTAAGTCTGTCCTCCTGACTGACAACAGCTGAACGAAGTGCATCTGAGTGCACGTGAAAATGCATCAAATTAACGAGCTGGTCTTCCTTGCTGCCTTTCAGGCCAGAGTTTTAAAACACCATCATCTTATGATGAGAAACAACAGAGCTGTGGATGTTTTGGTCAAACCCTGAAATGAACGGTGCTCCTGGTCTCTCTGAGCAACTACATCATCACATTTAGCTCAGTTTCTCTGAAACGGGCTGAGTCTGAGTCAGTTTTGTGTTTGCTGTGTGCGATCGACAGATGCAGCTTGAATGAAGTTCACTCCGGTTGTTAACACGGATGGACGGTACATACCGGATTTTCTGCCGTACATGTCGCACCGCCCTATATGTCACATCAGTCCAAATATGTTTCATAAAGTGGAAAAATCCATCAATACATCGCTTCGCCGGATACGTCTCATCTATTATGCATCACTGCTGACAACCTGGAAATGTGGGCCGGTGTTGGGCCAAAAATCAATTGACTGCCAAATGGTGGTCGTGGGAGCGTGCACGGAAGGACTTTAACAAGAATTTAACAAGATTGACACTACAACAATTGTTTGTTTGCTCGACTTTATAGTAAAAGTGTGTCTCAGTATAACTTTTAATTAATGAAAGGACTTTAACGGTCAAATCAGCTGCATTTCAAAAGTATTTGCTGCCTCAGTGCTCCGGGAGTGTGCAGACAGGGAGGAAATCAGTAAGGAGAAACGCTGTGCATTTCTGTGAACTTTAACAAGATTAACACTTAAAAACAATTATTTGTTTGCTCGACTTTATAGTAAAGGTGTGTCTCAGTTGAACTTTTACTTAATAAATGCACTTCAATGATCAAATCAGCTGCATTTCTCTGGGGCGGCGCAACAAAATGAAGCTGATTTGATTGTTGCTCCAAGCGAGCATCAATGGCAAGCCGACTATGTCATTAATAGCCACTTTTACCTATTACATGACACAACGGCATGCCATACACCTCGAGTGCCATCTAGCAGGTGAAAATTGTAGTGTTCAATATTTTCAGTCAGAATGAATGAAAACAGTCAGATCTCAGACAAAAATTAGTTTTTAAATATGGAAAAAACCA